TTCCTGCAGCTCTAGAGACCCCAAAACAGAGCCATCTACTCTGTTTCCTGCAATCAAATGTTTTCTCCAGCAACCTACAAGCAACCAGCATCCTCTTGTCTTTTCCCTTTCCTACAGACCTACGGCAAAAACTCTCAAATATCCTTCAAGCAGTGCGTGCAAGACAATCATGGGTTGTCGATCTTGGATTAGTACACTTAATTAAAATCTTTTTTTAGGTGTGATTTTATTAGGATTTGCTGTTAAGTTATTCAAAACTTTTTTGATTTGATTTTGTCAGGATTTATTTTGTGGTTAGGTTTGAGATTTAATCTATTGTTAGTTTAATTTCTTTATAAATAATTTGTATCCTCTCTTTTAGAGCTGGACATTGATGAATAACCTTCTGAGTTTTTGAAAAAACTTAATTTGAGTTGATACAGTGTGAGTCCATTAGGGTGTGAAGCCTAACTTTATCTATATTATGTAAGTTCTTTGTTCGAATGTATCTCCTCCGCAAATCCACTTCTTAAACCAGGTAGCTTCCTTAAGTAGGGGGGAAAAAGTTCACAATGAACGTTAACCTCATACTGTTCATCAGCATGAAAAATAACCCACTTTTATGTTCACTTCCACTTTGTGGATAGCCAATGTCCTCGACAAGCCCTTCGCCTCCACCACCAATCATCCTCCTCGTCGACTTTTTATTCCGATCAATACTTCCGTCCCTCACTATAGACCCTCTGTAACATGAGAGTTAGCCACTTACTACCCTTGAAGCCCACACAACCTCTAATTGATTAATTTCTGATTTGTTTCTCTCAGGCATCTATCTGATGAAAACAAAATTTCTCTTCTGGTTGTACTGCATTAAATCGGAAAGCACCGCATGAAACCTGAATATGCGTATTGGAATGGGTACACATTGACAGATGGGTCTCATGAAAATCTCTGGAACAGAAAACTACCCACCGTCTGAATAAAATACCACGTTTTAACTGGTAATACCTGCTTACTTTGACTATAGACACAGCAATAAGTAACAACAAATACTCAGGAAACAAAGAAAACATAATTTACAATTCCATCATACATAAACTTCATGAGTGTAACAAACTGTGAAATCACCGTCTTAGGCCTTCTTAACCTTACACCCTCCAGGAATCTCTACTTATGGAGTTGCGGTCAACCGTCCATTTCTACCCCTATTCCAGAATCTTGATCGTACATATAAATCAAAGGAAAGAAGAGATGCAAAATGGTGTTTCTGTTCCATTTTACAACATTACAGGACTTTCCTCCCACAACCTTTTCTGCACAATCAAAACCCTCTCCTCCTTGCCCGAGGAGAGAGCATCAACTGTGGGTTCTACTTCTGATGACCATGCATCCCATCTCAAGGCTGGCAGGTACCTCTTAATGTAATCTATAACAGACACTTTGTCTCTGATGATGGCAAAGCCTTGAGGCCGCAGTATCCGATCCATCTCTATGAGCAAATCCTCAAAACCACATCCTTGCTTTTCTATCTTGGAGAATAGGAGCCAAGCATGAAGGAGATCGTAGGTGCGAGGATAAGTGGAAAATGATTCACACCTACATTGCATGTTAAGGGGATCAACAACTCAAATCATTTATAGTCATATAACTAATCTCACAGAGATCAAGCAAGGTATATACAGTTCAAACGCCAACAGTAGCATACATTTAAGATTATATATATATATATATATATAATACCTATACTACTAAAGTCTTGGTGGGATCCATACCCGTTTCCTATCCACTTAAGTTGATAGGAGTTTTCATATATATAATATATATATATATATATATATATTATATTATATATATATATATATATATAGTATATATATATGCTAAAAATGACCACTATGTGCTGTTACACAGAACTCAGTCAATTGTATGTTTTTAGTATGAGGTGACTGGCGACTCTGTTAAGATATACTTCTAATGATATTTGGAGATAAGTATTTTGTATACTCCTGAACTACATGAATACGACTGAGTTAAGACCATTCTGAAGATTTTCGGAAATATGATTTTTGCATACTTTTTAACAAAATGCATACAGGAATCATATTTCCGATTGTATGAATATTTTTTACAACTCATCTTAAATACTGAGAAGCTTTTATAATTCGATTGTATGAAAATAACTTTAATTTTATAATTTCATGATATGTAGAAAAACATTAGCAGCCAATTGTTATTGACAAGGTGGTGATCGATAAAGACGATAACATCTAATCTGATATCCTGTCTACCTCTTTCATACGAGCATCTGATTACTTTCCATTGCATGAGAATAACTCAACTAGCATGGAGGACATGACTGCAGCTTTATTATGTAATAAACTTCGAAAAAAACTAGTCTATACTGATGCTAAGGGTTTCTCTGTATAAGAAATGAGAGAAAGTGTACTTTTTATAATACAAATCCATACAAGGTTCACTGTCGTTATTGTAAGAAAGGACACATGAAGATAGATGGTTGGAACCCTGAGAAAAGCAAAGCGTTGATTGATCAAGCAGGTGTATCTACTCAAAAGAAATTTTCCATGTTGCAGGCAGCACGAATTGTTTTGATTATTCATTAATACTGGATTTGGGGGTTCTTATCATATCTATCCAAACAATGATTTGTTTACTAACACGAGGCTACTAAAAGTCAAATAATTACAGAGCTGACCTCAGTATCAACTCTAGGATTGTTGCTCAAGAAATACATTAAATTCAAGATGTTCGACAGAGTAAAACATACAATGTTTGACATCCAACATATACTTCAACTCCAAAGACTGAAAATGCTCACCTAACATGGGGTGCTAAACAGCTAAAGGTTGTAAAGAATCTTGTATTGTCATCAAAGGAAATAAAATAGGAAGGATCAAAAAGCTTAAAGGGAACTGGATGAAAGTCAAGTAGACTGAATTCACCCTGCTCCTGAAGCTAGTAGTGGGGCACTGTTCAATATGAAAATGCAGAGTGAACATGATTGGCCATTGTTAGTGCTTGGGGAAGGTTCAACTCTAGACGGAGGTCGGACAGGGGCCGACATCCTTGTGGCAACCATGAGATATATTTATATCGGTTATTTGTCAAAGAAGCTTTAAAGTTAGCTTTTCCATATGTACATGCTTAGTAACATCTCGAATAAGCTAGCTTTTGAGTCACATTTAAAGAAGTTAGGATTTCCCAACCTTTAAAAAACTAGCTTATAAGGTCAATAAATAATCTAGGTTTGAAAGCAAATGACTTTTCTATCCATACTATTTTATAATTTTTAATCATAAAAGCCAAAAACTATCACACCTTAAAGCTTCGCGAACAGTAAGGCCACGCTGCCGCAATACTAACAACCGCCCCCCCCCCCCCGCGTGAAAAAACAAAACAAAACAAACCTTTGAAAAACAATGAATAGACCCTTGATGCATTACAAACAAACCGTAGGAGATACGAAAAAGGACTTTTAAAGAATTAAACAACTAGAAGATTCATCTATGGCTGACTAAAATCCATGAAGATACAAATTAATAGTGTAGTAAAAATTAGCTGATTTTATTGATTTATTGCCGATATGTCGGGTTTTGGCCATGGCCAATATGACTTTTACAAAAATTTATTGCATATCATTTTTGGCTAATTTCTCCCAATATTATCGGTGTAAATTCGATAAAGCGGTCAATTTCTCGTGGGTAAAAATCGCCAGATTTTCTATAATTTGCATTCCTAGTAAACAAGACAAAAACCCTCTCTTCTCCGTACCCGACCCACATACACCAAAACAAAAACAATGATATACTATTCTATTATGCATCCATTGAACAAAAATAATTGGCTAGTGATCCTAAACATGTGTTATTTACGTACTAGTTTATATTACATTAAATGTGCTCAGATTACATTTTAGGACATTATATTATATATGCTCATCATCTGATATGACACTCTGATTTTTACTACTTATCTCTAATATATCCCCGATGACTAGGATCCGATATGAATTTTGATCGTCCGAAATAATTTTGTGATAACTGATATTTAAAACCTTGCAAATCACAAGATTTGGATTCTTCAACTTCGACATGACATAATGATCACAAGCAAAGATGGAGATTAATTATAAAATCCATGTTTGTCTGGATGGTACTTCAATTCCGTCACTTGGGTTATCTCCACTAGAAAGATGGGGGCAATAGTCCGCCATGCTATGCTCAAAAGAATATTGACTTGCTAAATCAATTCACCTTGTTGACCTATAGGAAACGAACGAGACATCCGAGCTGAAATAAGTTCACCTCATCCATTCATGAAGCAAGCTAGGGGACTGATAGGCCAACATTCCATAAGGACAACATGATAGATAGTACTCGGGCTCGGGCTAATATGAATAAACGTGGAGGCATAGACTTGATGACGTAGGATGCATGGTAGAAAATTCATGAAATAGTAGGATGCCGGAAACCAAACGAATTCGAATGGCTGGCTGATTGCACGCAAAGAAACAAGCTTATCTCCAAATCCAGAAGGTGTATTCTGATATATTATATATGAAAATCGCATATCTTGACGAGACAGAGTCAATTAGTTTAGCAGATTCCAAGAATCCTATTAGTATCAACCGTTTTTTGGCAGAAATTTTAGAAATAATCAACTTTTATTTTATTTTTAGCAACGAAGTTAGGAGTCTATTTAAATTATAAAACAAATTCAATTTTGATTCAGTTTGAACTGATTTGTTTCCTCTATTATAAGGAGTCTTTTAAGTAGTTTTGAATAATTTCTTTCTTTTATAAATTCTATTCTTATTAGGAGAAGGCTTTGTTTTTCTGTGTAAGAAGAATTGTAATAAGATAGTTAACTTTTCATTAATAAATCTCTTTTTTATTACTTCGTGGATTCAAGGTTGTCTCTTCATGGATTCAGAGATTGTTCTTTGTGAATTCAAAGAACACTCCTTGGTGTGTTCAGACATTTCAACTTCCACATTGTATTAATTGGTACTGATGTAGGTAGAAAAATCATAAAAATGTAGGATCTTCAGAAGCCAAACAAATCCAACTAGGTGGTTGAATTGCACGCAAAGAAACAATCATATCCCTCATCCAGAACGCAGATTCTAATATATTATATATGAAAATCGCCAATTTCGACGGAGTCAATCAATTTGACAAATTCCTAGAATCCCATCAATATCAACCTTTTTTTTTTTGCAGAATTTCAAAAATAAACAGCATTTTTTTTATTTTCGGTAACAAAGTCTGAGTCTATTTAAATTAGAAAACAAATTCAATTTTGAAGCAATTTGAACTAATTTGTTTCCTCTGTTATAATGAGTCTTTAGATAGTTTTGAATTATTTCTTTGTTTTATGAATTCTATTTTTATTAGGAGAAGGCTTTATTTTCTATTTACGAAGAACTATTACACGATAAATAACTTTTCATCAATAAATTTCTCTTTTTATATTACTTAGTGGGTTCGAGGTTGTTTCTTCATGGATTTGAAGATTGTTGTGGATTTAGAGAATAAGCCTAGGTGGATTACGAGGCTTTTAACTTTCGCATTGCGTTAATTAGCCTTGTTTCTCTGATTCTATGGCAGGCAAAGCCCCTATTACCCTAACTCGGATTAAGATTCGCGTACACTGACTTGCGTTGGAAATGGAGCATCTGAACACTGGACGAGTTCGAAATCGCATTGATGATTGCCAAAGACGTAATCCAACTCAACAGTATGAATACAATAGCAACAACTACGACTCTGAAGCCTCATGCCAAAATTATGGTCGTAGAGACTACTCAAGGTTGGATTTATATGATACTGAAAATATGAGGGTTGATTTATCATCTTTCAATGAAAAACTTGGTGTAGAGGATTTTATTGATTGAATTGATGAGGTAGAGAGATTTTTTGAGTACTCTGAAATTTCAGAAGATTATGAGGTTAAACGAGTAGCCTGTTGACTTATGGGTAAAGCATCTTTTTGGTGGCAATCACTAAATGAGGAATGCACCTATTAGCAAAAGCAAAAAATCCGATCATGGGAGAAGACAGAGGAATTGTTGAAGGCTCATTTTCTTCCTACCTATTATTATGTGTTCAATCAATACCCAAGTTTATACTAACTACGATCACAAAGGATTAAGCAAGCCCAATCTACCCCTAAGCAAGACTCTGGAGTTGAGAAGAATACTAAAGAAGCAATAAAGAAAGAATAATCACCTCAGAAGCATAATATCTTCCACATGAGATGTACCATGATGCAGAAAACTTATACTATAGCGAAATCTTGTCTCTCAACGTATGGTGGGGAAATTAGGTTTGAAGATAAAGAAACACCCTGCCTCCTGCAAGATCGACTGGATTCACAATGACAATCATGTGTAGATCGATCAGGTGTATCCGGTATCTTTTTCATCGGCTATAACTATGTTAATGAGATATTGTGTAATGTGGTCAAGGTGGATGCTTGTCATATGTTTTAGGTAAGCCATGGTAGTTTGATGTTGGTGCCACTCACAGGAGCAGAGATAACATTTATATCTTCAAAAAGGATGGACATCAGGTTACACTCATGCCTCTTATAGGAAAGGAACCATCCAAGATAGAGACTATTGAAAGAACATTTGGTAGCAAACAACGAGGCTTTCACAGTAGACCCGAAGCAAGCTGAATAGATCTATGCATTGATCAGTCGATTGTAACTGGAAAAGAAGAACTGCTCCCATCGAGATTCCTCTTACGGTGCAAACCTCTATTACAACTGAGATTCCTATGTTGATGGTGATATGTTAGTGAAGATGGGGATTATGCATGAAATTCATGAAGTTGTGAGTGAAATTACATATTTTGATGTTGTTGCAATGGAGAAGGGTAGAATAGAGAGCGAGTCCATCGATGATATATGTAATTTGTTTGGGTGGAGGGTCCAAAGCAAAGGAGATGAAACAACTGGAGATGAAGCATGTGGAAAATTCTTCTTTGAAAGCAATGATCGTCAATGATTTCAACAATGTGAGATGATACTTCTGGCACTTGAATATGAGAAGCAACAAGAAAAATATTTAGAGGAGTTTTTCAACTCAACTACAGAGCTATATGTTGCCAATCATATACCCATGCTGTGGGAAAGATTCATACATAATTTTGATTCATAAGAAATCCTAGCAAAGGAGATAAAACATATGAAGAAAATCAATGTTAAATACAAAGCGGATGCTAATCAATGTAAGAAAAGAAAAGTGTTTATCAAGGAAGCTACTATTAAAAAAATATAAACTCGAGGTCAAGCTTCTTTCAATAAGTGGAGACTAATGTAGGACGCATGATAGAAAATTTATGAAACAGTAAGATCGCCAAAAGCCAAACGAATCTGAATGGATGATTGAATTGCGAGCAAAGAAACAATCATATCTCCTACTCTGGAAGACATTCTGACATACTATATAGGAAAATCACATTTCTCAATGAGACAGAGTCAATCGGTTTGGCGAATTCCCTTCAATATCAACCGTTTTTAGCAGAATTTTAGAAATAATCAGCTTTTATTTTATTTTTAGCAATGCCGGAGTCTATTAAATTAGGAAAGAAGTTCAATTTTAATTCAGTTTGAACTGATTTATTTCCTCCATTATAGGGAGTCTTTTAGGTAGTTTCGAATTCTTCCTTTTGTTTATGAAATCTAATTTAAAGAAGGCTTTGCTTTTCTATTTAAGAAGAAGAATTATAATAGCCTAATAGGGTAGATAATTTTTCATTAATAAATTTCTCTTTTATATTACTTCGTGGATTCGAGGTTGTATCTTCATGGATTCGAAGATTGCTCTTTGTACATTCAAAAAACACCTCTTGGTGGATTCTGAATTTTTTAAATTCGTCACTCCATTACTTGACTAAGTACAAGAGAAGGTAGGGTAATTGAATGTGTCTCACATCCAGTCAAATATGGGTGCTAACCTAATTATGAGATATGATGAATTGATGAGTTTGATTAGGATTAGAAAATAAGGTGTGGAACTAGTCCTGCATCAACTAGAAGACGATAGGACACGTGGTGAAGTAAGATTATGCTCAAAGTTCCATTATGGGTTTCTTCTACTGGGTCAATTGGATCTAAACCTTAGTAAACTATATCTATTTGTACATCTCTAGCACTGGAACTTGGCTAAATCTTTAAAATCTGTGAGGGATTACTATGCACTAGTTTGAATGGCTAGCAAGCCAATATAGGAGAGTTCAAACCTTTGTGATATGTGACAGCCCTTTTAAGCTGATGCATGTTGAACGTTAGTTCAAGATGCCTATGAAAATCATGTAATGATCACACGCTTCGAAGTATTTGTCATGTTGTGATGCCTAAGGAATTACCTAGTGTAGTGCTAACCAAGACCTCTTTCACCACTTCCTAAATATCCGAACATAAACTAGTTTTACTGGCACAAGATACAGAACATTATTCTATGTCCCAATTTACATTTCTTAGTTTTGGTTTTAACAGTTCTGATGATTTTTATCTTCTTTTGCAAAGTTCACAAGAACAATTTAAATACAAAAATTTAGGACAAAAAATGAAAATCAAGATGCATAGCATCTTTAAATCATGTCTTGTTATGTGGGGATTATTATTGTTGCGATTATCTCAGGAAAATGACAGCTAATTTGTAAATACTTTAAGATTCTTATGTACAATGTCAGTTTACCAGACTTAAAACAAATATAAATTAGTAAAAGATGTTGCATCCATCAAAATGGATAGAACTAAGTACAGTGAATGCTTTGAAGACAATAGTATTCATTTTACAACATTCCATGCAAAACAAGGAGTTGAGTGGCATGTGCCTTTCTCCCAATAAGTGCATACAAGCCAAAGGTCATGCATAATTATTAAAAAAAATTCCCTTGTCATCTTGATCCAGTAGCAGAATACAAAAAAAAAAAAAAAACTCCATTTACTATGGTCATGTCTCTGATGATTGATGCTTAAGTTTCCAGGTGTTTGGCACTAGGTGCTCGATTTATGATGGAAGAAATGTAACTAACTCAAGTTTCTTTCAGGTGAGGTTCATCTCAAATAACAGTACTCGTAATCATTTAAGGGAAGCAAACAATAGCAAGATTTGAGGATATCTCAATGCAATGTTGCATTCAGAATCTATTTTGCAGCACTCCGTCAATGAAAGAACAAGCACAGTAACTGAAATGGAAAGCGTGAAGAAAAAAGTGACCGTCTGACTAGTGTTTCAGATGGCACTACCTGAATGAAATATCCACAAACAAAAGTTAAAACCAGGTTTATGAGCACTATCTTCCTCATTCACAGATTGTAATGTATTGTCTGAGTTACACTCTGTAATTAATAAGGATAATACCACCCTATTATAAACTACAATTTGACATAGGATGCAATTTTACAGCACTGGCCGCTAGATCTTGTGCTATTCACGATCCTGCACTTTTCACAGTGATTGTCCTTTTCTACTTTAATTACTTCTAAGCCATATGAAATAACAATCACTCTTATTTATAAGTTCATTAGATACACTACATATTCAGGCAAAACGAGATATATCTGAAGAAAATAGAAACACAAAACACAAGCATGCACGAAGTGCCACACATAAGGAACAAGAGGTAACATGTACATTATATATTCTGCTATGCTAATAGGATGTCGCTTATTAAAGAACACATAAAACCATAACAGGTGGTAGAAAAAGATGTTTCTAAAAATATCAAAGAGGCACCAAGATGTTACAATAATAGGGTATCAACAGTATAAGACAAACGAAAGCATGCGGAATAAAATAAATACATACCAATCATGGATAGTACCAATTAAACCGCGATCATAGATTATCTTCAATTTACTGGATTCATGAACAGGTATAATGTTCATCACCCAAACATCTTTGTCTGCAAGAGATGCTGCAAATCCACCAAGGTTTGCTCTCATATCCATTATATTTCTAAAAGAATTCTTCTCAATTTTGGATTTCATCTGCTTCCAGTATTGTATCACTCTCCAATGCCACACCTCCTGAAAAGGTAACTTTTTAGGTGAATAGTAAACGGAAACTGGTGTTTTATAAATGCAAATAGTACTAATGTCGCTCCTGAACTCACAGTGTCTTCCTTATATTTCTCAGAACTCATGCCAAGTTCTTCCAAACGAGGTGGTGGTGCAATCAGCCTCTGCGGCCATGGAACAAGTTCACTACCTTTTGCCCTATTAACCTCTGTTGTCAAATAAAATTATTATTCAGATTAAAAATTCCTATGAAGTATCAATGGGACTCATCCAAATTCAAAAACAAAGTAGCAATTTCAAAAAAATAAAATAAAATAAAGTTTAGCAGACTCAGAGAGCTAGAACTGCACGGGGGTGCAGCAAGGGATTGTCCTCTAGGTATGAAATTAATGATATTTAAAAGAGAACTACTACCAAAAAGAATTAGCACCAATAATCATAGTTCCTAATATATAAATATTGGACGATATTGAAGCCCAAAAAGCTAAAAGTATTTTGTCACTTATGGATTAACCCCCTCAATTCATTTCAGTTTTCAACATAGAGGAACTAAATTAGGAAACAATGAAAGTTTTTCTTTTCTTTTCTTTTCTCTCACATACTCCCAATCGAAATCAGAAAATAGAAAGGATCAATTCTTTTCTAGAACTTTTCCAATGTATTGCTAAGGAGATTACTTACTCTTGGAGTATGGTGTGATGCATGCTTCCATGGGCACATTCCAAACCGCATCAGGATCATCATCAGAACTACACAAGGGGGGGCGTGTCCCTGGATCTCTCCTCGAATAGCACCCATTACTCAAAGGTTTAATCCATATCACAGTCTGGTTCTTCTTCGATGCTATTTTCCAGCACATCCTATGCACAAGATCATTCATCGCACTCCATATCCTCCTATTTTCTTCATCATGTGCATACGCCTCAGGTGAGGAGTATACAAAATACCCTCCTGGTCTCAACACCCTATCCAACTCCAATAGAAGAATACCATCCCTCTGAAGCCAATCTATCCTACATCTAGAGCAGTGAGCCAGCTCAAATGAACGGCTCGGGTATGGAAGCCTCTTAGTCCCCAACACGCCAAGCGTCGCTGGAATCCCCCTCTCTAGTGCAAACTGTATCTGGTTCTCATGCACATCATTAGGTGCAAGCGACATAGCAATGATGTCCAGAGGCAAAAGGTAAGCACCAAAGCTTGCTACCCCACATCCTACATCAAGAACATTCCGAATGTTTCCGCCGCTGTTGAGCTTGTTGTTCGGAAGCTTGAGCATCTGGGTTTTCCATTTAGAAGATTGCAATCACAAATCAAGCTCTGAATAACAAATTTGATGCCTCCTTAAACAAAAGAAAAGTTGATTTGTGAAACTACTGCTAGGCAATAAAAGCCCCTTTTTTTTGGTGGGTTTTTAGTTCGAAATCTGAGCTGTGTGTGTGTGCGTGTGTGCGGGGCTTCATTCAGTGCCCAAACCACTCCTCACCTACGATATTGCCTCACAGCGCTGCGTCCTCATCCAAGCATTTAAGAAATAAGAAGAAGAAGAAGAAGAAGAAGAAACGGGGTAATACCTGAGCAATGGAAACTATGTATTTGTCCGCTCCATAGTGGAAATGGGTCCCACCCCCTGGGAAATTGATCTTCTCCCCGTTGACCACCATCCACCTCTGATCAGACTTCTCATCGGCAAGGTGCGTATGGGGAATGTTGGCCTTCCACACCTCGTCCCGGCTGGCCGGCCACCTGACGGGAATCTTCGGACACGACCCAATAACACATCAAAAAGCAAACGGACTCGTAAGGTTCCAGCTCCGGCCCCAACACCCGCCGCCCAAATAGCAAGCAGTAAACAAGATGACGATAGGTTTGGCGCTAATAAACATACCTTGTACCCAGCCGGAGGAGGGGACGAGGCAGTTGTACGGCGGTTCGGGGCGGCAATGGCGTTCGTAGTGCTCCATCAAGGCGAGATTCAGCTAGAGCTTGACTCAGCTGGTAGATGAGATTGCGGCGTCCAGCATGGGATCAGCTCCGAGTACCTCACATCACAAACCTAAAGCCCGCCCGCCAAAATAAAAAACGAAGTAAGATTTTTTAAAAGAAAATGAAAAAAAACAAACAAATCGAGGAGGAGGGAGGGAGGGAGGGAGTCCGGGGGGGGCGGAAGCAGGAGGAGTAATACGGGAAAAGAAACGGGGGAGCGAGAGTCGGCGGCGGAAGCATCGGATCGGAATCGGCGCCCGAAGAGGATCCAGAAGCATCGTCATTCGTGCGCGAAGGCCGGGGCCGAAGGAGGTGCCGTAGTAGACGCAGAGGAGAGCGAGGGAGACGATGAAGCCGAGGAGGAGGTACGAGAACGCCTTCCTGCTCATCGATGGAGACAGTCCTTCTCCCCCCTCCCCACCTCTTCGCCCGCCCTATTATGAAGATCCCCTGGGTGGTGACCGCCGCAAGTGGGTCTTCTGTCT